TGAGCCTTACTAAAACTAAAGGGAATATTTTTTCAACCAACCGGATGAAACTGGTCACAGTACATTTCCGTCCCGATTTCATAGATCTAAGAAATACGGGATTAAAGAAACATACAGATGACGCGGAAATAATTATAGGAAATTTTTAACCTATTTGACAGGACTGACGTGGATTATGGTTTCGTGGAATTTGTGATGGTCATGCGAGTTTGAATAGACTACACCAAGCATCTGTCTTTCTAAAATAATTATGTAGAGGTCTCGGTTGATACTGAGAGTGCCAAAAAAATTTGATCTCAATAACACCGCCGTAAACTGATAACGTGGACAGCGAAAATGCAAAAGCAAAATCAATCTCCGTCCAAAATTTTAATACGTTGTACAAAAATGAACAACGTACACGTAATGTACATGTAATGCTGATAGAAAATATAAGTTCTCCGAAAATCGAAAGACAGTTAGCGCAGTTTAAACGAATAAATAAGTCCTTCAACCCGACATTTCTTACGCTTGGGAATTTTCATTGCCTAATCTAACGCTGTTTCATCTGATTGGCTGCACAGACGACAAAGTACACATTTCGTAATCAAGGCTCCCTTTAGTGGACAGACGATCAAACAACTTGCCTGAGGATACAATGACTGCGTTTGGTTAATAGAGCCCCTTCTTAGGCTCCTTTCACACTGTAGGCATTGTTCAAACCTGCTCTGTCTTCCCTAACTTTTGATTGGGGAAGCCTTCGTTTTGTTGACGCAACGACCTCTGACCACCCAGCTCCGAATTTGGCGCTCAACCTTTCGCCTCGTGTGACTGCTTGTACGAGCGGAGCAGTGTCTGCCGTCCGCTTACCTGTTAGTTCAATCAACTTCTCGGGGATGACTCCCGTGTGGCCCCGTTGGAGTCCTTGCGACTTCCGCACAGTCATGCTTTGGACACCGCACTCCCGCCCGCGGATTGGCGCTCGTCCAGCTGCCAATTTACGAATACATATTCTCTGTTTATTCTTTACAGAACACACCTGTCATCCCACTTATTTTTCTCATTGAACTGAGTCTGAAGTTCACTGTAAGAAGGTTCTTCCCCATCAGCTTTAATCTCGCATAGTACCGTGACAACTCGCTCGACGTAATCAAGGGCATTCCCTGCCTGTAACCCTTCAAATGATCATAAATATACAACTTACGCCACTAATATTCCTCAGCTAGTCTAAAAAGGATCAGAAGAGGAGGTTATGTACTAACTCGGATACATCTTACTTAATTTTTCCGTGCTCTTCTTCCAACGGGCGATTACCACTCCCACTAACCACATCATGCTAATACAGCAATGACTTGGTCAGCACAACTGATACAGGTAGAACACACTTGCGACAAACAAACCCACGAAATAGGCCATCGTCGCTGGAATCACTGCAAATTTATGAGAAAGCTCGCAAACCCACATGTCTTTCCGTTTCCCAAGCTTTTCAAAGCCTTCTTGGTGTTTAAGCTGGGCCCACTGACTGGAAGCAGGCCACGTTGAGGGAAAAAAAGCGCCTGGAGAGTTTATATCATGGGACTTCATAAATATATGCTACCAGCTAAAGTTAAAACTAACAATACGAAATTAATTTTATGACTTGAAGGACAAAGCCTATTTAGTCTGTGTTAACATGGACTTATACGCCTATTATCCGAGCTAACTTACCTAGTTACATCCGTAGAGCGCCAAATGAAATTTTTGGACTGTGACTGCGAGGTCTTTAACATATAGATGATTGATAATACATTCCTTCAAATGTGTGCGACGGGGTACCTACTCATATGGCTGCAGACTGTTCCACTATCAGATTTCTGCATGTTTTCTTGGACAGAAAAAGCAGCCATTCAAAATGGGGTTACGCAGTATAGCGTGCTGGTTCCTACTGTGGTCTTAATAATCGAGTATAGTTGAATGTCAATAATCGTCTTAGGGATTGCTTTTAAAAACCTATTAAAGATGATACATAGAAGTAAACAACAACGCTAAAAATAACTTTGATGCCCTTAGCAGAATACACTTCGAAAAATAGTATTATAACAGTAGGGACTGAAATCCGAGTATCCTGCGTTGTCAAGGGTTATGTGCAATAATAGATATTCCCGTTGACAGTATGTATGATCAACGCGTAGGTATAGTGTTAGATGATTCTCCTGTCTGGATTACCTATGATACTTCAAGTAACTTACCGCGAACTTCACGATTGAGTACCTCTGCTCTGTCTACCTTTATTAAAATTTCGAGACGAGCATTCTAGGTAACGAAAAACCACTGCGAAAAGGAATGGCGACGGACATTCAAATAGGATATGGTTCCTTACATTTTTTAAAAGATCCCACGCAGGCTGCTTGCTGGTAGCGCTCCTTTTCATCGCTTCTCCTTTAATAAACTAGAGAATTTTAAAAGACAGCTGCAACATAATATGTTGTTATTTTTGGAAAGTTCCCAGGCAGGCAGGCTGCTGGTAACGCTCCTTTTTATCGCTTCTTCTTTAATAAAATACATACGTACATACATACACCACAGTCGAACAGTCTTTATCTTATTTTTATCCGGGAGGAGAAAACAACGTTTGTCCGGTACGTGAATGATAAACATTTGGAACTGGGACTGCTAATTTATGGGAAAGGAAATTTCAGAGGTATCCTCGGGAACAGAACTCCATGGAAAAGCGAATTACCAGTGGATGATCCTTAGCTCGACATTGAAAACAATTGTTTACTTCAACTGTCCTCTCAGAAGTGAGACAACATTAAATCGCACAAATTGGATAAACTTAAAAGTACGGGACGCTTTCAGATAAAGAAATGGCTTTTCGAGGCGTTACAGAATAACCGGCCTAATAAACACTTACGGGGATATGAGAAACAACGTAGCATTTGTGAAAGTGAAGACATCGAGCTGCAAAAGAAATACAAACTGAAAATCCTATAAAATTCGTTGAAACCTCCCAAAGTACTATACAGCTACATAGGAAGTGCAACAAAAACTCAGGAACTGATCCATGTCCTAAGATCTGCAGACGGAAACCTGGAGACCGACGACAAGGTGATTGTATACCTTCTTTCCCATTGCTTTAAATCCATCTTCACCCGGCCGCCTAATGTATGTTTTGCTTGTCCCTCCGCTTGACAACCAATATCTCCACTTCCTCTACCCTCTTAATCACCCCTCAAAATAGCGGACCTACATTTTTCGCAGAACATAATTAGGGCCGAATAACTCCACCTTAAGTGTGCCAAATCATCTTGTAAAGCATTACAAGAGCTAGCTAACAAACTGTGCGAACCCCTATCTGTTACCTTCCAAAAGTCTTTTGAAAAAGGCGAACTCCCGGAAAAATGGAAGTGGGCATTCGCCACCCCGATCTATAATGGAGATTCACAAATTGGCTGCGAAAACCACCACCCTGTCAGTCTTAGTTGTATCGCGTGGTAAATACTGGAGTTTATTATCATAAAGCATGGGATCACAGAAAAGAAATAAAATAGTATGCGATGCCCAGCACGGCTTTCGTCCAGGACGGTCTTGCCTCAAGAGTGCTCTTTAATCGAATGGGAAGTGCCGAGGACCACAGATAATGGCTATCGATATGGAAATTCGAAGAATGTTAAAATAGATCAACAGTTTATTGTCCGTCGGAGAACAGGGGGTTATTGTCGGAAACTCCACATCGGGAATGGGCAGAAATAGAAGGTAGTTTACTAAACAGTTGTTTTTGGGCTCTTATTCTGCCTCATCGACGTAAACGACTGCCTCAAGGACTTAGAATGCGCGACAGCCATGTCTGCGGATGACATAAGAATAGGATGAACTAGTGTCAGGACTTGACAGGTCTTTCCTAACTTTCCTAAATAAGTGTTACTTAAAAGTAAGAAGTATTAATATACCAAATGCAATTTTAGAGATGACTGACATAGCGTACGAAAGCCGTGTGAAGGGCGGCCCTTGAAAATCTTTCTGGCAAAATGCGCTTAGCGTCATGGCCCAGAAGATTACCAAATGTTTGGCCTGCCTCAGCCTTTCTCATTGCTGACAATCGGGCTGCAAATGCGCTTCCTTAATGCTGCCTCTATGAGA